TTTGCATGTAACATTTCGTAGAAATTTTCACCAGTTGAAATTCGTCTTCTTATGGATAAGTTTACTCTTATTTCTATTTTCGTTAGATTATATAGATCTAAAGTAATATCCTAATTGGCTCATTGACTTATAGGCTAATAATTTACGTCTTACGGTTATTGTTACAGAATTTTATTTGTATTGTACTCTAACAATAGCACTACAGAACCAATAGTGAATGTCTTAATATAATCTCACATGGAAATGCAATCATGTGTTCCTTTTTTTATTTTAATAAGTTTTGAATATATTAAATTATTAAAATATAGAAAAAATAAGAGACGTACTTTTTTTTTATAATCGGTTTTCCGTTAAGGGGGAATCCTGCTTTTAAAAAATGGATTTTTTCTTTTTCAGTGAATATCGTCTAAACTAAAGATCCTATATCAGAATCTGGTCACGGGTGCTTTCATCAAAACGAGAAAGAAAGATACATGTATACATTTTTTTCTCACTTTAACGTATATGCTGTATCACTCTATAACTTTAATTGTAGTTTATTGAAATTGGAGAAGAACACTTGATTATGCTCCCTTGTCAGATGTCGTAGTAACTCTCTATTCATCCTGTCATAGTAATTGCAGTAAAGTACCTGTTATTACATATTCTCTATCCGATTTTTATTATTTATAACATAACTGTTCGAGAAGATAATTTATTTGAAGATAATTGAGAGCTGTTTGAAAAAACAAGGAAAAAGAGAAAAGGAACGAATATCGGGCACATTTACACGGTAAACGATCGTTCGTTTAATCTCGGGATGCTTGGTGAGACAACGGCGATACTCATTAACTATGATTTTGCGGGCTAAAACATGAAAAACATTATTAATTGTCAGAAAATATAAAAGTCTTTGATAGTGAAGACGCAACGCGATTATCTGCCGATCCGAATCAACGTCCTGGGATTAAGAAATCTGGGGGACATGCATCTCTCTGACATCTTTTAAAACGTCGAGACTGTATCTCCTGACTCGGTTGTAGCATTAATTGATATCATAGAGATAGTGAAACATAGCGAGACGACGCGAAATGGACAGACGTTGATCACTGTTTATCACGCGGATGTATCACGTGAATCATGATATAAGAATATTAGGTATAACATTTCCATGGATGACCAATAGGATGACTAATCAGAAATTTACTACCAATTAGAATTAGCCTCAAATTATATTGCGCGTAATGTTACACCTGGCATTCTTATATTATACGTGGACGACGAGGAGTGCGATAAGGACACATTGCGCTGGTCGGTCGCCTTTTGCGTCGTTTCTATAGGGGTGCATCTCGGAGTGTTCTAGCACAAGTGTGTACTGCTGCTCATTAAAATTGCAATATCAAGAAAAATGTGAGAAGTGACATATATTTATATGGCAGATTATTTATGATACATGGAGTTTACAGCTTGGTATTTTTATTAGAAGTATAGCACATTTTCATACTTTACCATATGATCTGTCCTTTTTGTAAATTTCAATATGATATGTTTTTTTCCATTATAATTTCAATGATCAACAGTGTACGCTGAGAGCGTGAAGATGTCCTAGCGAGACGATACACGAGCTTAAAAAAAAAGCTCATCATTTCCATGTCTTTATCTCCGCCGACATTTTCCTCAAGAGCTCTTTCTTTTTTCTGTCTCTATCTCATCCTCTATTCCCAAGAAGCATAGGACACACGCACGCGGTATATACGTTTATCCATGCATACGCACACTCATACATACACACGTGATATAATCTCTTTCTTTTTTTTTATCTTCTTATTATACACTCTCTGTATATCGACGATTTTTATATCGACGGTGAAAACGATCATGTTTAATAAATGTGCCTTGTGGATATATATATCTTTTTGCTTGCCGGGTTGGTGGACTCTTACCCTGATTATATTATGTTACCCGGTGGTTGCACTCTTCGCATCCGATCCCGTTGCGTCGTCTCGCTCTCCGTAGCCTCTCTAGAGCGAGACAAAACGTTACTTGTAAGTGATAGAGTGTTTGACGAGGATATGTCTTCTCTTTAAAACGCGAAGTTACTTCCGCAATATCTTGTTGGAGGAGAAACTGAAGATTGCAACTACCGCGTATCTTGTTACGTTCTATACATTTTTTTTTCATTGGGCTCACAGGTATCTTTGGTATATCTACAGATCAAGTTGGAGATTTCTGTGTCGTAACTCTTAGCTCTCTTTCTCTCATTCGTTCTCCTTGTTTTTTTATTCTGTTTTTCTTCCTTTTGCGTAAAATTCTCTCTCTCTCTCTCTCTCTCTCTCTCCCCCTCCTATCCTCCCTCTCTCCCTCCCTTCCTCTCCCTCCTTTCTGTCCATTTCTTTGATATTTTATCCGTGAATTTTCTCTTTCTATCTCCAATTGAAAGACTGATCTCTAAGGCCGGTTCCATAATTGGTTCTTATATTTAAGACTGTCTTAAGATGTTATAAGTCAATCACAGAACCGTATTAGCATCTTATTTTTTATTACTTAAGACGATCTTAAAATAAGATCGTCCAACTATGAATATCGACCTATATGTGTCTCCTCTCTCATTTCGTGATTACTCACTCTTTCGAAATGTTGAGAGATTCGATTTATTCAAGTTGAATGCTATCAAAAAGTTATTCTTCAATGTGGCCAATACTTACAAGCCGTTGCTTTTTGCTATGCCGATCATTCCAGCGGCCTATTAGAGACTAGTTTAGTAAATCTACTTATTCCTGTCATTGTGTTACATGTTTCCGCCTGCAAATGGCCTGGTGCGATATGAATCCACATTTTTTTTCTTCAAATTGTGCGAAATGACAGCCTGCCATCCGTATCATGTCTTTGCTCAAATTATATTTACTCAAATCATGGAATAGGGAATAACTTCAAAATAATTGCTGTATGTAATTTATTTATTTTTCAGACTCTTTTAAATATCTTCTAAGATAGATAAATGATACGCACGTGGGCTGTCCTTTTGTTACAAAAAGGCGCACGCAAAAAGGCTTTTTCGCTAGGCAAAAAAGAGAAGAGCACGAGAGAGAGAGAGAGAGAGAGAGAGAGTGAGAGAGAGAGAGAGAGAGAGAGAAAGGGAGAGAAGAGAGACAGGGGAGTGAAAGAGAGAAAGGAAGAAAAGGTAGAAGGGGAGAGAAAAAGAGAGTGAGAATCTGCGTGTATCTGGTGATTTGGCAGAGGGGCGAAATCGCAAGTTGGTGCTGCATTATATATTATATATAAAAAGATATATATTATATACATCGTGTTACAATAGTGCAGTGTCGATTGCTGTTATGGTAGCGGGACCTACAAATACTAACTTCTGTGCTTCCAGGTAGGCCAAGTCCAAATCATTATTCCTTTGGATAACTGCATTCTTTGTACGTTTGGGCACGCGCGAGCTTATTTTTCGCAAAGTTTTAGAGTAGTTTTATAATACTTTTAAAACAGTGAAAAGGATTATTTTTGACTTTTATCATATGTATGATAAAAGTCTAGGATTGGACCGCCGCGCCGCGTCACAGCGCCAATCAACTTATAAATACTTAATATATATGCATAAAATACGTGTCTAACGAAACGTTTGCTCAAACCGTACCAAGATCAGTCTAATTGAAAGTGAAATCGTGCAGCGTACAAAGATCTTAGCGGTTTCATTAAAAAAAGAAAAAAACAGGTATCTCACTAATTCACTTTCATAGTGCGAAACACGCTGTTGAATATGGTCGACTGTATACTGGCGCATTACTAAATGAGAAACGCTTTGTGTGCTTCTAGAAACATCTCTGCGGATCTGCACGATGTCACTCGTCGTAATTGTGGAGTGGTTACATAATGGGCGCTCTTCTTTACGTTTGTACATACATAACGGACGATCGTGGATACTGCGAGTCCCTTTTTTTTTCTATCAACGATACGTTAAGCTCGAGTCCGCGATATTACAAACCGTAAGAGATAACTGATCTCACAAATCGGGTGATTATAGAAGTCAAAAAAAGGAATCCGCAAATCGCAGTGGATTCTACAAGCATGATTGCTTCTTTTTTTCATCTGCGTTGATATAATTAAGCTACACGGATCATTTTGATCGAACATTGATTGTCGTCCTTTTTCTTTCTTTCTTAGGGGGCACGATGTTGCCACCACCACCCGTGGCGATATTTCCGCCTGCGGCTGCGATGCTGCCCCGTGGCCCGCCGCAATTTGCAACGCCATATCCGCCACCCATCTTTTACTGGCCTTACCCTTCACCGCCGGTTAGCCCGACTAATTATTACACCCCCGCAAACGTCGGCGGTATCGCGCCCATTCCTCAGCAAGCTGCTCTGGTGAGTAAAAGTCTCTTTTTGAAATCATTTCTTGCTCTCTCTTGTGCAGCCTTATTATTTATCGGGCTCTACCTTTTTTAATAAATAATTCCAATGGAAATTGTATATCCAGTGTTTAGAAAATAAATTTAAACATTTTTTTTATTATATTATATGTATACATTATATGTACCGAAGATGGACCAATAAGAAATCGAATTTGTCGTATTTTATATACGTTGTAACACTTCTATCATTTAATATAACTCTTTTGTAAGTTAGTGTTTATTACTTAACTAACTTAATAAGAATTTCTAGGCTCAGAATTCTTTAGTATAATTATTTATTAATTCTTTATTATAATTGTTTGAATTTTAATTGAGCTCTTTTTTTTATGTGACTTTAATTATTGGGAGTATAAATAAGTTTCCGCCGTTTGACAAACAATGGCGCTACCAGTATGTTATAGTTAAAATTGTCAGCTTATAGTTAAAACGTCATATCCTAAGGTTGGACATCTGGCAAGAACATAACCTTGAAATATTAGCGATTTTGCATCAGCATCTTATATCTTTTTTCGTGCGAAAATGTCGAGTTTTGAGCCGAATAAGCATCATTTGCGGAAGCTTTTGATTTACTTCTTTAATTTGAAGAAATCTGCAGCTGAGGCGCATCGATTGCTTGTAGAAGCATATGATGAGGCTGCCTTAAGTGAGAGAAGTTGCCGTGAGTGGTTTCAAAAGTTTAAGAACGGTGAATTTGACGTCGAAGACAAAGAACGTAGCGGAAGGCCGAAAGTGTACGAAGACGCGGAATTGGAAGCATTATTGGATGAAGATTCGTGCCAAACGCAAGAAGCACTTGCACTTACATTAGGAGTGACTCAACCAGCAATTTCACATCGCTTAAAATCGTTGGGAATGATTCAAAAGCAAGGAAATTGGGTTCCATATGAACTGAAGCCGAGAAACGTTGAACGCCGATTTTTCACATGTGAAATGCTGCTTGCCAGGCATAAACGAAAGGGTTTTTTGCACCATGTAGTCACTGGTGATGAAAAATGGATGCACTACTAACCCAAAGAAGAAGAAATCATATGGACCACCTGGCCATGCTTCAACATCGACAGCCAAGCCGAACATTCATGGGAAAAAGCTCATGTTGTGTATTTGGTGGGATCAGCTAGGTGTCGTTTATTATGAGTTGCTCAAACCGAACGAAACCATTACTGGGCTCTCTACCGAACACAATTAATGAGATTGAGCCGAGCACTCAAGGAAAAACGCGCCCGCTACTACTCCAGACACGACAAAGTTATTCTTCTGCATGATAATGCTCGTCCACATGTTGCGTCGCCGGTCAAAACTTACTTGGAAACACTCAATTGGGAAGTTTTACCCCACCCGCCGTATTCACCAGACATTGCTCCTTCTGATTACTACCTGTTTCGATCGATGGCACATGGCCTGTCTGAGCAACACTTCACATCATATGAAGATACCAAAAATTGGGTTGATTCGTGGATAGCTTCAAAAGATGAAGCGTTTTTCTGACGCGATATCCGTATGCTGCCAGAAAGATGGGAAAAAGTAGTGGCTAGCGATGGACAATACTTCAAATAAAACATTAGGTACCGTTCTTTCACAATATGGTAAATGTCCAATTTTTGATAAAAAACGGCGGAAACTTATTTATATTCCTAATAAAATTTAGATTTAAATTAAAATTGATTATTAAAAACTTCCCAAATGGAGATTTGGACAGTCAATGTTGTGTTTTTTCAGGATAAGACACTACACGTTCAGCTCGTATTAATTTATTGTTAATTCTATATTACTCGCGTAGAGTATTTATGATATTTTAAAATTATTTCAATTTTCATTATATAATATTCTCTTTGATGTTTACAATTAAATAAAGATTGATAATATTCTATATATATGTATTTCTTAACTATTTTGAATACATATGTATGTTTCTCGCTCTTAGTGATTATACTAGATAAATCGTATAAATGCAGTTATTGCATATATTATATCACATACTGTGTGAATGCAGTTAGGGCCAGCAGAATGTCTGCAATTAGCACCCGGGGCAACGACGCTGCCGACAACCACGGCCACGGGACCTGACGCGCGTATCGAGGCGTATCTACCACGAGTGGAGTTGGATAAACGCATGGCGGCGTTGCCTCCACCGCAGACCGAGTGCAATCCCTTCGTTGAGGTTTTCATGGTTTGATCACCTCAGCGGGATCTTCTTGCCTGGCCCAGTTCCTTGCCTCCTAGACATGCGATCCCAAGTTGGCGAAATGAATGGTCGATGAGCGCTTAGGACCAGCTAAAACGTGGAATTGCGTGGAAAAAAAGGCGATTCAAGGGTAATCCTTGAAAGAACGATCCTCATTGTTGTCTTCATCAACGAGGTTTAATGATATTTTTATTCTTTGAACATATCGTACGTAGATGTAGATGTACAAGGCAAAGTGCAAATGTAAAGGTGTAATTTTTCCTCTATGCGTTTTTCCAAAGGAAATCATTCTCTTTCGTAAATTTCCGACGCGCCGTCATAGCGACGCGTTACTTTCTAGTCTAGAGATAGATAGAAGCCGTTGTGGCGTGATACACAGCGGTGTCGTTTCTTTCTCATCGTTTGTTCCGAATTTTTCCTCTCCTGGAATGAGACGAACCGTGTATTACATTCTCCTCCTTTTAAGAGTCATGGCACAGAAAAACGTAAGGCAATATGATATAAGCAGTAAGCAAATCAGCTAATTTGAATAGATATCTTACTCGTATGGCAATAAGCAATAAATAAAGCCAAATTGCTTGTTGCTTACGTCTAATTGCTTAAGCTTTTTGTTCGTCATAATCTTAATTTTCCTCTCTTTTTTTTTGTGTGTATTTTATTCCTTTACTATGTTACATTCTCATCATTTCCCATTGCAATGATGGCAATTGGACTTCGCGTACTTTTGCCCGCATCGAGTTGAAAGAGCTTGCGGGAATATATACGAGCAACCGAGTTGCACACGTCTCGGGTTATATACAAGATAAACAAATTACCTATTAAATAGATTGTAAATAATACTTATATTTACCGATCGTTGTAAGCGATTGTATCGGACAATGTTTAAAGATGTAGTCCGTGCCGCGCACTCGCTTTTGCAATTAAACGCGTCTGATTTGTATCAAATATGCCGTGGTTGATATTTAGATCCGACATTACATCGCGGGCTATGTCTCGTTAGTTGTTTCTCTTTCAAATTTTACATACGATGTTTTATGAATATTACTTAATTTAATTTTTAACGTTTTAAAATGAAAATTAATATATAAATATATATGCATACACATACACAAACATATATATGTAATATATATATATATATATA